AGCACTTGCCAGACCGCCAATCTCCCTCTTTGTCTGTAGAAGGTTTGCTATTTGAATTTGCTTTCTCTCTTTCATTTGGGACTGCCATCTTTCCGTTGCCCAGCTCCCTATCAAAGAGGGGTAAATTTATGCCCTGGGAAACCAGCATTCCTGCAGCTGCAAGGCCAGCCGGTCCACCAAGATAAAGTAGCAGAGCAGAATCCGTGTTCTGGTGCTCAGGCCCTGTTTATACATGGGCCAAGTCACTGGGGCGTGTGCGGCTGTGTTAAGAGAGAGTGGTCCCCTCCCCATCAGCCTCCTGCCAATCGCAGGGAGACAGCCGGCCCCATAGTCTTCTGAGACAATCCAATTCACACATCTCCCTGGTGATCATCTGCCACTTGGACTTACTTGACTCAAATTCTCCACCAACTCTCCGGCTTGGACATTCTCTGTTTATTAAAGTCTGGCTTCTTTCTCAGCGGCATGGGGCATCTCTGATACAGTTTGATGAAAGAGGTTCCCCCCCATCCTCATTCTTCAAGGTCAGCTGATTTGGATATTTCCAGAAGGCTGCCACTGCCTCTTAGTTCCACGCATGTGTGTGACGCCGCCGTTGGCAGGGCCTTCCAGCGCATGGCTGAGCCCATTAAGACCCAGTGAAGCCTGAAACGCAGAATCAATGTCGCATTTGCATCAGAAGGCTCCGCATCACGCCACTCCTGCTGGACACAGGCTGGACGACATCTTAATACTAATCAGCTTTTCCTGCCGTTGATTTAAGGATTGGTATTTTGAAAACCACGAATATTAGCTCTGGCCCTCCCTGCTGCTGTCAGACAGTCATCTGCCCCCTTGCCAGACTGTACAATTTGACACTCTTGTTCAGCGACTTCTTGCTCATTAAACTGATCAAGATACAAAACTTGTTAGTTAATTTTTCATGCACTTGGGGGATCTGGTTGCATATTTTAATGATCTGCTCTCAGGATGAGCTGATCAAACTGCATATTTTGCTGATCCGTGGTGACATATCCTTAACTACAGCATTGCTCGTGCAGGGTCCTGGGCTGTGTGAGCTGCATTCACCAAGCGCGGAGTAGATGTTATGTGTGCTAATTGAGCTGTGCGACTCCACTGAGGTGCTGAGGTGCTCTTTGCTGATTGATCTGAATAATAACCATTTGGAAATTTCATATTCTGCACCCTCGGGCTTGGATGTTATCAAAACCAATATTTATTAGAGTAGCATTCGTCCTAGTTAGACTTTAAGACATTCTTCTCATTTGCTTAAGGTTGAGTCATGAAACTGAGTACTCCATACACGTGCATACGTACACACTTGCATGCACACACAAGCGCGCGCGCACACACACCAGGCATGAATGAGATAAACAAAGAAGCCAAGGAGTGAGTCCAGCCTCACTCAGACAGAAAGGCACTGGCAATACTTGGCCAGCTTTTCTGGATCCTGTTGATATTGAGGGCTTAGGAATTGTGTCTTTGGAAAATAAATTACCTGACCTCAAGACGGTGACTCCCAAGTGATGCCTCAGATGGATAAGCTCCCTGGGCCTCACCATTGCGGAGGCAGAATGCTGGGCTTCCAGGGCGTCCACAGAGGTCCAGGTTGCAGGCTCCTGTCTAGGCCCCACACTTGACCCGCTCAGGAGACTCCTGGAAAATAAACCAGGGACTCCAGAACTCATTTTCTAAATACGTTAAAAAAGTAATTTAAAAGGTGGGAATGACCATAGATACCTCAACCTCTAGAGTCTATAAAACAGGAATAGCCAGGTGATGGGTTTAAAATATCTCTACCAAGGAAAATGATTTTATATTATAGACAGATTTTGCTTTATTATTTTAACAACAAATAATAATAATAATAATAATAATAATAATAATGAGAAGGAGGAGGAGGAATTAAAGTGGCATTTGAGAGTAGTTGGATTGCCTTATTAGAGGCATCACTAAACATGACTTTTCAGTGTTTCTCAAAGACTTTTGGGGCAGGTTGACTATATGAATTTGCACTGGGCCAGCAATAAACATTTGCTCTACTTTGGCCATGTGTCCTCTGTCACAGCTACTCAACTGTTCCAGTGTAGAAGATGCCATAAATAGTGGCCACAGCTGTTTACCAAAGATATTCACAAAATCAGGCATCTGCTGAATTCCACCAAGGACAGTCATTTGTTTACCTTGGTGTAGAATATTATTCTACCATCCTAAAACTCTTCTGTGGAAAGGAAAACAGGGTAGTGACTACTTTGGGAAGACATCAGAAGGAAACCAGTGAGTGGGGTGTGTTGTACCCACATACTTTAAAACCAGGACTTGTGCAGGACAAGGGCTGTGGAAGTGTCAGCTAATTGTATCACTATTAGTTATTATTGGATTGCTTAGCACAATTAGTTTATCATCCTGATAATTAACTAATATTTATTAAACCTACACTATGCCATTTTTGGGTTCCAGGACTTCAGTTGTGAATAAATCCAGCAGAGGATTTTGTCAGGAGCACACAGAGTGGTGGGATCAGAGATGAGAAAAGAGAGAAGGATGCTCTGGGATACAGCCACCCTTGGGTTCTCTTAGGGCATTGCTTCCAAGAACTCCCCCCTCCAGCCACCGTCCCCACCCGGGATACCAAAATCCTCAGATGCTCAAATCCCTTGTATAAAATAGCATCATATTTGCATGTAACCCTGTCACAAACTTTAAGTCATCTCTGGACAACTTATAAAGCCTAATAAAATGTAAATTCTATGTAAATAGATATTATATTGAACTTTTAGGAAACATTAACAAGAAAAAAGTCTGAAAAATCTGTACATGTTCAGTACAGATGAGATTTTTTTTTCCAAACATTTTCGAATCCTGGTTGGTTGGATCTGTGAGCAAAACCCATGGCTGTGGAGGGCAGGCTGCAGAGATCCTACAGAGGGTCCCGGAGCTTCTGCAGGAGAGGTCCAGGGGCATACTGTAAACCATCCCACCCCAGCATGGAGAGGCGATGGAGCTTCCAGGAGGAAGTGAGAATAAACTGACATGTGAAAGACACAGGACTCAGCCAGCCCAAGGGGATAGTGAGGGACAGAGAGCAAGGTGAGAAAAGCCAGGTTTCATTAGAGAAAACAGACAGGAAAAATCGAGGATGCCTGGAGTGTTGGGTTGGAAGTGAAGGGGAGAGGGGCTGGGGAGGGCAGGACCTCAGGCCACATTCAAGGTTTGCGGGGTCCTAACCTGGCAGCTTGAATGCTGTTGGCTGAGGAGCAACACCTTCAGATTTGCACTGTAGATAGAATCCTCTGGCTGTACCTGGAAAGTGGATTGAAGGGGGCAGGATGTAAAAACCAGTGCTAGCAAAAGCAGGAAGAAAACACTGGAGAGGGTAGAATCACATGGATGGGGAGGACAGAGTGTCAAGAAACACTGAAGGTTGGCCAGAGGAGACTTTTCAGAGGGGTTTTGAAAGGTAAGACCTGAAGAAAGACCCAGTGGCCCCCCAAAAAGTGCTTATGATAGAGCAACAGGGGCCAGCTGAGATAGTGGCCACAGGGGGTAAACATGGAGCTCTGTTATAAGATGTTTGAAAGAGAAGCCGAAACTGAATAGTAGGCGACTGTCTTTGGAACCAAGCAGAGAGAGAAGAAGCCTCAGGGAAGTGACCCACAGAGGGAGAGAAGGGGCCCAGTTGATGGGGCAGAGCTCTGGGGCAGGGCTCTGGAGTAGGCTCAGAGGGACAGGACCCCAGAAGAGCAGAAAGGAAGGGTCGGACACATGCTGGACCATGTCTTACAGAGCAGCAAACATCAGTGCATGTGGACAGAAGAGGGCCAAGAAAAACTGCCCTAGGTGTCCTGCAGCAGGGGAGGGAATGAGTTTCCCAGAGCAAGAAGCAGGGGCACTGGGGCTGGGAACCTGGGCAGTGGCACTGCCTGGCTCAGTGTGGATAATACTCTGGAACAAAAAGAAGAATGAAAGAAAGGTTTGAAGGAGGCTCCCAGGTCCCAGATCCAAGTTTGAGAGCACAAGAGTATGGTGGACCCGATTCCAGGCTTTGAGATCCTTTCTCCCAAGTGATGCTTGCAGCCTGATGCAGACAGATCAAAACAGAATGTGTGGGAGGCCCAGAGGTGGGGCTTGCAGGGAGACTGGGAAGAGAGGGACCCTGAAGCCCAGGCAAGGAGTCAGCCAGTGAAGCCAGAGGACAGCCTGTAGGTGGGAAAGCCCAGGGCTGCCCAGGATTGTCTACTAGAGTCTTCACACTGACTTCGTTGCCATTTTCAAAGCCTACTGGGCTGTCATTTTGTGATTTAAGAAAAGTCAAGAAACTTATTTCTTATGGTGGTTAAAGAGAGAGGAAGGTAACTATCTTCAAGTGCTAGTTAATTGGAATGGAATTCCCCATTTGATAACTATTTCACAAAAGTGGCATTTAAAGTCCACATTAGGCAACCTCCACTGAATGGGGCGTGGGCAGAGCTGGACACTCATGTGTCCTTGAGGCCTCCTTCTGAGGGGAGCCTTCACTGCAGGCCTGTCTGAAGCCTGGGACTGGAAACACAAGGGGCCTCACCTCCCTCCCTGATAGCTTGAAGTCCTTGGTCATACCAGTGCTTCCTGAAATGTTCAAGTACCTGAATTTTTGGCAGCACATTTGAGGAAATTAGAAGGTAAGCACTATTTTTTCTTTTTTAATCATTTGAGAGAACTTGCCATAATTACCCTGCGTCTCTTGTTTACCTACTGGCAGAGCCTGCTCAAGGACAAGAGGTGACGCCTGAGGGTGCTCTCTCCTGTCCTCCTGGAGAGCAGTTTTGGGGTCCCAGGGACCCTGAGCCCTTTCTGCTGTAACCTGTCACTTAGAGAGTGGGCCCCTGCAGCTCACCACCCCAGCCCAGCTGCTGCCCTGACTGCCCTCACCCCAGCTATATGAAACACAAGTCGGTCCGAATGTGCCTGAACATGTGTGTACACACACACACACACACACACACACAGCTCCACGGGTCGCGTGGAACCTGGCTTCCTCCTCCAGCGCAGCCCCTCCGCCAGGCTCAGCATAATCCAGCCTCAAGACCTCGCCGGGTCACCTCAGGGGTGTGCGCATCTCCTCTGGAAGCCAGTTTTGAAGTTGGAAGGCCAGGTGCCCCATCCCAGTGTGGTTTTATCAGTCACCGCACTGGGTCACTTCCCGCAGGTTGTTTCCTTTGCTCTGCGCCCTCTGATCGACGTCGACCATCGCTGGATAGGGCACCTGTCCTCTGTCCGCAGCTCGAGAGCAGCAAGACCCCCTGGGGTCAGGCAGCCATTAACAGCTGGCGGGCCCAGCTCTGGGGCAGGCTCCTCCACCGTCCGCAAGCTCGCTGGGTGGCTTCTGCGTGTCTGAGTCTTCCTGAATGAACCAGGGGTCTGGAACCTCGCACCATGAGCCCGGCGTGCCCTTCCCTGCAGCGCTCCTCCTGAGGGTCGCTGCCCCGGCCGGCGACCTGGTCTGCGGGGCGAGGAGCGCGCTTCCCCGCGCCGCCACGAGGGGGCACCGTCCGACCGCGCGCTCTGCGGTCCTTGCAGCGGCGGAAACCACCCAGGGCTGGGATCAGAAGTGACCTTGTGCAGACTGCGCTCATTGTTACGCGGAGGGGAAACGACAGCGAAAAGGAAACCATATATTGTCTGTGGTCCGCTGGGCCGTAATTCATTCCCCTGGACTTCTTCGCGAGATGGTATGGAACCCATTAGGCAGGATATTGAAGCTTATGGATGGAAACCTAGTAATTCCTCTTTAATAAACGTGAGTTACTTTTATTTCTTAAACTTTATTAGGCACTTACTCAAAACATTACTGAAAAACGCTTGCTAATAATATGAATGATGATTTGGATTCCGCTTGCGTTATTGCTATGTCTCAGGGCCCCAAATACAAAGTCTGGACTGTTCCTGAGGACTGGGGAATGGCTGGCCCTCGGATGTAAATCTTCCTGCCTGCGTTTAATTCCATCTTGACACTTCTCACCAAACCCTGAAGGAGGGGAGAGGCGCCCACCACAGTGGCCTTTTTGTGCAGTCGAGAACTAACACGTGAGAGGCCGCCAGAGGCTACATGAGGGGGAACTGAGGCCCAGCGCTGCGGCTGGGTCCCCGCAGGCTGCTGGGCGCCGGACGCCTCACAGAAGGGCAGGGTGCGCGAGGAAGGAAGTCTTTCCAAGCCTTCCCCTTCTAATGTGGGGTCCTTCTACGCCCAGAGTCCTATGCGTCCCACTCTTCCCAAGGCCCCTGCAGTGTGATGGCTCTCACACCTACCTCTTCCATACCCTCCTCCCACCTGCCTCCCAGCTCCCCCGCGAAAACCCATGGTCAGAACAGACAGCGCACGGACACCTCCCACGGTGTGGTTTCCTCAGGGTCTGGGATGGCCCTAACACAAGCGCAGTGACCAAAACCCTATACGCTGACACCCCGATATCTACCCTCGCCCCTTCCCAAACTTACATGGGGCAGCCGGTCCTCTTGATTCTAGATCTTAACTACAGCTTGCGTTCTTCTGCACTTCCATTTTGTGTTCGGCTTTAGAGATTTCATTGTCTCTGGCCTATGTGTGTGTGTGTGCATAGATATAGATGTGTATATATGTGTGTGGGTATATATGTATACAGGAGTATGTATGTGTGTATCTGAGTGTATACACACATGCACATGCATACATGAAATACTAAGCATATAAAAAGTATACATATGGGTGTGTATATATATGCTTTTTTTTTTTAACCTTAGATGCTTGATATTACTTAAGATGCACCCTTCAGGGAAATGATGCAACATCTAAACTCTTGATTTGTAGATTTTACTTGGCACCTTTCAATCTGCTTTGTGTTACAGGTACTTGTTCACATCCTGAAGCCCTGATAATTCTGATAATCCTGCTGACTTCCTGAGGAAGGCACCATGTCTGTACTTGTCTGCTTTAAGGCACCTAGCACAAGGCCTTTCTTGTTGTGAATGTTCAATAAACATTTAAGTTAAGGGAAAGAAAGCTCCATAAAGCATATCACAAAAACTTAGAGCAAACTTCAAAGTGGAGAGATGTTAGAAAAAAACATTATAAATCAGCTCACAAGGACTTAGTATCTCCACTTGTATTCAGTATTGATCATTAAACTGGAGATTAAAGTCAATTGGGGGGAGAGAGGGAGGGAGAAGGAAGGGAGGAAGACAAAATATAAAGATTGGAAAGAAGGGGGAAAGTATAATTGTACAGAGACGATGTAATTACCTATATCCAAAAAGTGAAAGACTCTATAGAGAGCTTGTAAAACAGTTAGCAAGGTTGCTAAATTTAAAATCAACATATATAAGTCAATTACATTTCAAAACACTAATTATAAAAAAATAGAGATATATTTTTAAATTTATTTTTAAGAAACAGCTTTTACAAAAGTAGGGACAGACAAATGTAAGTAATAGCAAATCTAGCAAAATGTGGACTAATTTAGTGGATTAAGTTATATAAGACTATAAATCCTGAAAAGTTGAAGATGCATCATGTTTATGAATAGAAGACTAAATGTCATAATATTGTCAATTGTATGAATCCAATGTAATTCTAATTAAAATCTTAACTGGAGTTTCCATAGATGGTGACAAAATGGGAATTGACTAGATTATTCCTTCCAGCCAAGCTTGCATAGTAGGGACCAGATTTATCTTATACCTGAAGTAACAGAACTATGCACAAAGAATATGGAATGCTGGTATTTATGATAGTGGACATAAGACAGCTGAGGATTGTGGTCCCTGAGAGACACAGTAAAGGAGGCGAGCCCTGTGCTCACCCAGACTGGCTGCCAGAGTTTCTACACTAGGGTGCAGAGGTGCATGGGGGAGTCAGGTGGATGCAGGACATGGGTCTGCTAGTCCCCAGAGACCGGGAGGCTAGGGTATGCAGGATAAGGTACCAGAGAGCAGGGAGCTTCCCAGAGATGGTACCCTGGAAGATCTTCAGAGAGCCCCTGGAGTGCACAGGTAAGCACCCACCTGCAGATGCAGGTTGCAGGAAATGCCCGGATAGAGGAAAGAGAGGCCTGAGACAACTGCAGGTAAGAGAGCCTGGTGGCGCACACTACTAGGGAGAAAACCCCAGATCCCTTGGTCACTGGAGAAGCACCTGGGAGGTCTTCTCTCAGAAGCAGGAAATAAGTAGCCCTTGCCTGAGCACTGCTCCACTCCCATCGGACAAACTGGAAAAGCAAAAACAGGAGAGGTAGGGCGTGGTGGTGCACAACGGTAATCCTAGCAGCTTGGGAGGCCAAGGCAGGAGGATCCTGAGTTCAAAGCAGCCTCAGCAAAAACGAGGCACTATGCAACTCAGTGAGACCCTGTCTCTAAATAAAATACAAAGTAGGGCTGGGGATGTGGCTCAGTGGTCGAATGTCCATGAGTTCAATCTTGGGTACCCTCTGCCCCCGGCAGGGGGGAAAAAAAAGAAACTAGAGAGCTCAAACTACTTAAATGTGGCTGAACGGCCTCTCAAACAAAGTTGGAGAATATTTATAGGAAAACCAAAATATCTAGCACCCAAAAAGGTAAAATTCAAAATGTCTGGTACGTAATGGAAAGTCATCAGGTACACAGAGAAGCAGGAAAACTTTGGTTCCTCCACCATTTCTTTCTTGGTTATTCTTCTGTTAATAATACACCCACTTCAAAATTTATTTTAAAGCTGTAATAATTGGGGCAAGCAAGACAAAGGAATCAGTGAAAGAGAGAAAAAAGAACCAGAAAAGGCTCTGTTACTATTTGGAAAAAGTACATTTTACAGCTGGCATTGCAGACCAAGGGGGAAAGTCAAAACCAGCACATGGTGCTGGGATTAGGCAGATGAAAAAGAAACTGTGACCTCACCTCACATAATAAACAAAATTTATGTGCAGTTAGGTTAAACATTAGAATAGAAAAGAAAACTTCAACATCTTTAGAAGATACAATCCTTTTGAATTGGGGCTAAAAAGTGTTCTTTACACAAAAACCATGAACTGTAAATACGATTGGTCCATTTAATGGTGCTGTGATTTCAATCGCTGTTAACCAGAGGATACCATGATCCAGCTGAGGGGGTGTCTTCAACACATGCAAGTGACAAAGGACTTGCATCCAGGATATAAAAAGAGACCAAACGGGAAAGCAAGTCAGGACAAAAAGATAAATAGTTTACAGAAGAGGAAACATAGACAGCCACAAAATACCCAAGATGTTCACCTACACTGATAGTCAAAGTGCCAATGAAGGTCAAGGGGTATTCCCAGGAAGATGGAGGCAGGTGGAGAGGACCCAGGACTCCCTTGCCTCTGCTCCTCAGGGTGGAATGTGGCTTTGCCCAAGGGAGCTTCCTGTGCTGGGCGTGGTGACATTGCAGCAGAAGGCTGTGGAAACAGGAGCTCTCTGCTTGCCAGCCGTGGGTGCTTGCCCATCGCCGCTGTCTCTACCATGCTAAGAGGATGTGAGAGCCATTGGGCATTCAGGAGCCTCGCCAGCAGACCTTCTGCAATGACAGTGAGCGCTTTCTCCTGGAAGGCCTCACAGACGGGTTGATGGGATTAGACAGCATGCCTTTCTCAGAAGGCACACGGCCACTTAGGCAAAGATGAAAGTGGTGTTTTGGGGAAAATGCCAAGCTGCAAATCTGAGGTGGAGAAGATATTCCATTAACCTCAGATCTACAAGGCTGTCTATTAATTTCGAATGATAAAGGATGTCAGATAAAGCCAATTAGCATAAAACACTCTTAGTCAGCTTTGCAAACCTTCAACAAATAGCACAAAGGATGAAGGACATTTGGGGATGAGGCTTTTCCAGGGGACAATTAGAAGTGACAGTGTCTCCACTTCCTTTTGTCTTGTGTAGTCCACGTGCTAAGTCCTCAGGCAACTACTAGGTGACTTTCTGCACCCGTGCTTCCTCCTGCCTGCTCCCTCCTTTGTGGTTTAATGCCTTGGATCCTTTTGCAGAAGAGACCAGTGGTGGCATGTTCTTCCAGGGAAGGACACATGATTGCATCTGATATCCAGAGGACAGAGAATGCCTCCACCTGCTGGGAACTTAGTCTTTGAAATTCTCGATGCACCTGGAGCAGTGACATTTCCTCTTGGGGCAGTTTCCACACTTAAGAGTAAGGACAGAGATACCAGGGCAAGCACAGTGCCAGTGGAACTCCTGTGCTGGTGACCCTGTTTTCCCAAAGCCTCTCCCTCTACATCCTTGCAGGTAGAGTTTTGAATGGTTCTGAGTAGATCAACGTGGATGACACCAGACACAACTCAGGTGTGGAATTTTCCCCTCAGTGAAAACCTGGAGGAAAGGATCAGGCCTTGCTCATCTGTTTTTCCAGTGCCTGGCATAGAATGGGTGCTAGATAATAATTTTTGACTGAATAAAGCTATGCACACCAAACAAGTAAAGTATGAGTGACAGTATCTTGTATAGTAATTGCCAAATGTAATGCTGACTATGAGAGCTACAGAAGCCAAATCATGTGGGGATGTGATGATAATTATTATTATAATTATAGCCAGTGTCTAATGACTGTTCACTGTGTACCAGGTATTTCCTTGGTGCTTTACATTATTCAGTTACAAGAGTCACACTTGTTTAGCTAAGGCAATGTCCTAACAAACTCAATAACATACAATGGCTCAAGTGCAATGGAACTTTTTGTTGATCCAAGTCTGCCGCAGTCCGGCTGCAGCAAACTAGCTGGGGGGTGACGAACAACTTGTGTACATTGATACAGCAGGAGAGAGGGCCGTTTATTGTAGGACAGGAGCGGTATTTATACATTCCACATAGCTTATCTTAATTAGCATAAACTAGATACATTAGTCAACCAATAAGGAATCTCCACACTTAATGGCTCGCTTTTGTTACTTCTCAAACCACTCCCTCTGGCATTTTGCCAGGCACCATCCAGACTTGTTTAGGAACTCTAACGTTCCCCTGGCAAAATGCCAGGTGTTATTTTGACTTGTTTACAGACTCTAACACAAGTCCAGTAGGAAAAGTTCTCCCTGATGGAGACCCAGGATCCACTCCTCTCTCCTTCATTTGCAGTGTGTGGCTTCCTGGAATGTTCTGGGCATGGACATCCAACTAGCAAAGGAGACATGAGCAGGTATGGAAGTTTAAAACCACACTTGCTCATGGTGAATAACCACCACCCACCCGACAGAGGCAGCAGGGGCTGGGAAATGCAGTTCCTGGCCAGGCAGCCTCTTCACAGAACAGCTCTACTACTGTATGGAAGGGGAACAGGAATCATCTGTCCTCGTGTACCTTGATTATCTTGATCATCACAAGTACCAGTGTGCTACTTGAATTTAGTGATCAAGGGCAGGGTTGCTAAATGTCCCTTAACAGCTAAGACAAGTCTTACTGTAAAAGAATTGTTCCATCAAAAGCTAGAGGTGTCCCCATGTGACAGAGCATGCTGAGAGTAAGCTGGCAGAGTGGTGTGAGGAGTGTCTTCTGGGTCCAAGGTTCCTGACTGTGCTCAGCTCTGCCTCTCACGAGCCAGGCAGAAAAAGTCAGGTTAATGAAATTTCTCAAGGAAGAGATGGAATGATGGAAATTGAACAGGAGAGAGAAAAGAGATTGCACTGGGGAGAGGCTTGACCATGTGGACACAGGCTGTAGTGAGAGTGGGCATGGGGTGCTCTCAACAGCCTGCCCCATCTGCAGTTCACTATCAGGGGTCAAGGATATGGTTAAGGGCTCCATCCTAATTCTAATCCCAAAGATCCCCCAAGCTGAGCCAAGGGTGAAAGTGTCACCAGAGAAGTGTTAGTTTCTTGCCCCTGCAGTGACAGATGCAAATGAGAACAGACTCATTCCCATGGTTCTGCATTCTGCAGCTTGTGATCTGAAATCAGTCACCCTGTAGGAATTGAGGGTGCTTCCTGCCTCAGGCCCTGCTGCCTCCCTGCCCTCCTGGC